ATATTGCACAGACCCTGGAGGTGGGGGGGGGGTCCTTTTGAGCCCTTTACGGTGGGCTCTTTTGGGGGAGATGCAAGTTGAAATTGACCAATGACCACTTGCTAGAGTGTGACAGCTTTTTGCCATCTAACTATGGCATGGTTTGAATTTCCTCTTGAGAACTGCCACGAGGACAGGTGCTTGACGGATCCTCTGCCCTAACCTGGGATCCAGTGTCCCTTAACCAAAGTTTTTCTCTTTTTATCAGGACGTCACAAAATGCTCTTCAGTTTCTCCCCACCACCAGACAACTTGCAGGCTCTGCCTGAGGTCCGGGAGGGTCTGAGGTCTCCTGCCTTGAGCAGGGGGTTGGACTAGAAGACCTCCGAGGTCTCTTCCTATCCTACGACGATTCTATTATTTTTTAGTTGGCCAGCTGTCAGAACAGAAATGCTTACACCTTGGGCTCTCATGGTGAGGGACCCATTAGGTGCCTGGGTGCTAATGGGCCTTGCCTCAAATGATTCTACTGATTTATTATTTTGTTTCATATATGAGTTTTTTCTCCCCCCCTTCCCCTTTTACCTCTTGGCAGTGTTGAGAAGTTCTGTACTGAAGGGATTTCTCTCCTGAATAATCTCGTGCAGTCACGGCATCTGAGGACAGTCGTCCACGTCCTGGATAAAATTTTACCTCTCTTCTACCCTTGCCAGTATTATCTGCTGAAGAACGAACAGTAAGTATCAGACTCATCAAGAGGTCTGATACGGTGCAGGAATGAGATGCTTTGAGTAGCAATCTGATGTGTAACAAACAGGTGGAAGCAGGGCCACAATTTCAAGTAAAAGGGGGCTCTTTGGACACAGGACAGATTTTCTCCGACTGTGGAGAAATTCAATCAGTGTGTACAATTCAAGCCCCATCAAGGGTGCAAAAGAAGATTTAGTAAATGGCTGAGATGACACTATTGAAGTAGCCTGCTTCTGGTCCAAAATAATCTAATCGTTTTAACATTTACCCCAGCCTTGGGAGAAAGGTGGGGTAAAAATATTTTAAGCAAACAAATAAATAAACATTTTGATCTGCTTTTAATCTACCCATATTCCATACGTGTACGTCCGTAATGTTAAATTGTGCAACCCTCTGATATGAATAAGGAAAGTGCCTTAAGTGGAACAAATGGGGACTTTTCCACAGGCACCAAAATCCAGAGACAAATGTCCGGATGAGTGTTAGGAAAATAAATGGCACCACCTCTTGTTCCTCTCGACATTCCTTTTTTAAAAAAAAATAAGGATAACCTTTCTCTTTCCTTTGGAGGTGATGGGTTCCTGCTATGCGTCAGGATGGAATAGATGGGAGAGAGTGCTGGGTGTTCATACTGCTTGGAGCGGCTCTGAGCATGGGAGACAGTGGTTATTTTGGTGAATGATACGGTTATTTGGCCGACCAGTTGGCTCATGGAGAAGGTTCCCATACAGGGTGGTGCTTACAGAATCCGTTTCTTAATCTCTGGTTTGGAAGGTATTTCATCCTGAAGTCTTTGTGCCAAATCCTAACCTTGCAGATGAACCAATGGATTTTATTTTATTTTTTGGAAGGGTGATATTGCATGGGAGATGTATAGAGAAATGACTGTTCCTTAGCCAACGACTCCTCTTTGGTTTTCCTAGGTTCTTGTCCTGCCTCCACCAGTTCCTGCAGCTGGACAGTGGTGTTCCGCAAGGGATGACCCAGCAGGTGACCCAGAAAGTAGCTCAGCACTTGACCGGGACGAGTTACGGTGAAAACATCAAGCTGCTCAGCTGCATGATTCAGGTCAGGAGTTAGAAGAATGTCCCATTCAATCCGGGGTGTGTGTGTGGTCTGAGACAGATGGAACCAAATGGCCCTCATTCTGCATATTATAGGGGGGCCTTCTGCACCCTTACAAATCAGCTCACACCCTGCAGAGCACGCGGTGTCACAGAAGAGTGGTGGGGCTTGGTCACTGTGGTGCTCCCAGAAACGCAGAGTGAGTGTGGAAAGGCGATTTCTTGTGAACGTCCCGGAGCTAATGGAGAGATGCCAAAGAATTAGCCATCCAGGGGGAAACCGGCTGACCTGCAAACAGAGAACGCTTGGTGATTCATAAAGGAATAGCGAAGCTGAACTTGAACTCCTCCCGGAGCTGAATCTTACTTCGAGTATAATTTCAGCACCTTGGATAGTGCATTTTAAAGTTCAGGGTAAAATGCACAGCGGATGGACTTCCCTCCCTCCACTCCCTGCTGCTGGTTGCAAACTCCAGTCTGTGTCAGTCTTTTTTGCTCCTCGTGTCCTCACTGAGATTCCCTTGAGGAGAGAGCAGCATTTTTGTTCCTGCGATGGCACCCACATGGCGGAATGCTCAGCTGGCAGAACATGGCACCTCCAGTGTAACAGCAGGGCTGGGAGTCGGTGGAGGACTAAAAAAAACCCCACCTGGATGCCCTTGCTAGGTTAGGTAGTGGGGATTTGGAGGAAACTGAGGAGACACTCTTGTTTACCTGCGCCTCAGGCAGCAGCATGTCTTGGGCCGGTCCCACCTTGAAGTACCTGAAAGAGACACCTTGGAAGAGGTGCGTCATTGGTTTGGCTATAGTGATGCATACCTTAGTTGCAACACGGCTGGATAGCTGTAAGACATTGTATGTGGGGCTGTCTGTGGAAAGTGGAAACGTCAGTGGGTCCAAAACATGACTGCCAGAGGGGTTGTGTGAGTCACAGGTATCACATAAACCACCCTCCCCCCATTACAGTAGCTCCAGTGGCTCCTGGTTTGTTTCTAGGTGCAATTCAAGCTGCTGGGTTTAACCTATAAAGCCCTAAATGGCCTGGGTCCAAGCTATTTCAAAGACCTTATTTCCCATTATGAGCTGGCCTGGGTGTTAAGATCATCAGGCGAGGCCTTTTTCTCAGTACCTTCCAGTAGCCTTCCTTCGCTAATGACCCTTAGAAAAAGTATCTGAGGGAAATAGTATGAAACGACAGCAAGGGAATGTAGCCTATCTCTTCATTGAGACCAGAAGGTAGGCTAACACACTAGTTTGACCTTTGTCCACATCTGGGCAGTCGTTTGTTTATAAAACTCTTCTTCTTCTGCCACCGCGGCACCATTTATCCGAAAAGGAGTGAGAGATGGTCCACAAAAATATCAGCGCTATGCTCTTTCTGTTTTATTTATTATATTGTAGCCCCTGAAGAAGGCTGAAAGTGAAATAGCCGAAACGCGTTGAATAAAGTATCGATACCCATTTCTGCATCCTGGGACCGCCGTCTCTCTTTGCTTGGCAGCTTCAGTGGACGTACCAGGTCCTTTTTGTTCTTGGTATGTGTCCTTACTGGGCACCTTCTGACTGTTCCTCCCTTCCTCCTCCTCCTCCTCCTCCTCTATCTTCTGACTGTTCCTTCCTCCTCCTCCTCCGTTTTGTCTTGACAGAGTCACCTTTTTATAAGCAGCCATCCCATGTCTTGATAGAGTCACCTTTTTATAAGCAGCCATCCCAACGCCGTTGGGCCCGTTGCCGTGCTGGAGTTCTGGGTGCAGGCCCTCACCAGCCAGCCCCTCTGGCACAAGGAGAAAGCCAACCTCTCGCTGATGGATCGCTTGTGCCAGGCAGCGTTTCAGCTCAACCAAGAAGACTGTGTGCAGAAACTGCTCTATCAGCAGCACAAGGTAGAGATGGGGCCCTTTTTCCTTCAGGATAATGGAATGATAGAATAGAAGTACAGTTAGGACCGTCGTAGGTGTGGGAGAGCGGTTCCAAGCTCTCCTGACGATTCTGAAAAATGGGGATTATACCTAGTGCTATTATAATACAGTAGTGCCCTGCAAGACGATGTCAATCCTTCCCATTGAAATTGCTGTTTAGTGAAAACATCGTCTTGCGAAAAGCGTTTCCCCATTGGAATGCATTGAAATCCGTTTAATGCGTTCCAATGGGGAAAATTGTCATCGTTTTGCAAAGATCGCCCATAGGGAAGCCATTTTGCAAAGCGCTGATCAGCTGTAAAAATCGCTGTCTTGCGAAGCATCGATCCTGAAAACACCCATTTTGCAAAAATCGCCCATAAAGCCATTTTGTGGAGCTGCCGATCAGCTGTAAAAATCTTTGTCTTGCGAAGCATCAGTCCCGAAAAAAGAAAAACCCATCTTGCGAAGCACGGCCTGAAACATCATGCAGCGAAAATCGCCCATAGGAAACACTGTTTTGTGAAGCACAATGGCCATAGCAAAAACTCATCGTCATGCGGATTTGTCTTTTTGCAGGGTCATCATCAAGCGGGCACCAGTCTAACGACGAACACTAGACATAGTATGACCTCTGGCTCCCTCTAGTGTCCAGTTCTGATAGCAAAAACTCATCGTCATGCGGACTCCTCGTTTTGCGGGGTCATCGTCTAGCGGGGCACCACTGTAACGACGAACACTAGACATAGTATGGCCTCTGGCTCCCTCTAGTGTTCAGTTCTGATAACTTCATAGTTAAAAACATGGGATTTTTCTTTTTAATATTTTTAATATATTCAGACTTTGGATAAGTGAAGCAGCAGATAATAATTCAGTGAATAAGGGTGTCCTACTGTACTTTTAGAACTTGCACATGACTAATATTTTGAATTTCTCAGATCTTATGAGGATAACAGGTGTCAGGGAGGTGGCCCTGCAGCTGATGGAGTTTGCTGTCCTGGGGGGCGTGCTGGTCACACAGCAGATGGCCATATCACAGTTTTTTAAAAAATTACCACTTTGAAGATCAGGAGAGTCCCAACACAGTCTAACAAGTACAGAGGGAGGGTCCCCTTGAACAAAAACATAGGTACACTTTGATAGGGTCTTTAGTGGAAAGTTCCAGAACAAGCAGTTGCACATGTGCATGATTACATGCCTTAACTGCTGATAAAGCAACTCATGAAAGAGCAGTGTGTCCCTTCCTGATAGGCTGCTAGCTTGCATGAAGCATGTATGATTAGGGAGTGCTCCGTTTACGTTTTTTAACATCTGTGTACATGACCTGCTTATAGTAAGTAGAACAATGACATCGCTTCTTTCTTCACATGTCTTTTTCTGTGTGGGGGTCATATTGGGCTTCCCCCTTGGATCACGGGGGCATGGCTACCCTCTCTCTGGTCTCTGTATCTCACCTGTGTTTCTTCTTTTCCATTCTCCAGAACGCTTTGGGCTACCACTGCGACAAGGGGCTGCTGTCTTCCTTCGTCAGCTGGATCGTGGCTGGCAACGTTACGCCTTCGTTCACTGAGGGAAATGCGAATCCCTCCCAGGTGAGGAATGGCTGTACCTTGAGACTCGGAGGACGGAGTCCACTCTTGGTTTCCTCACTGGGCGAGAAACACCTGTCTCAGGTGGCTCCAGTGGGTTGGAGGACTAGGAGGAGGAAGAGATGATGCCCGGCTTTCATCAGTTTTCTACATTGATCCCTCCCCCCCCCTCATTTCTTACAGATTTGGTTTGCGTGGACTGTCCTGAACATGGAGTCCCTCTTTGAGGAAGATTCTCAGCTTCGTAGAGTTGTGGAAAGGGAGTTGGTCGCCGGCTCTCTGACTCCCGATCAGGCTCTGAAGGTAAAGAGGATCCCCGTTCAAGTCCCTGCTGAGCCGTGAGCTTTTTTGGGAAGACCTTGGGCTGGTCATTTTCCCTCAGCCTGGCCTACCTCGTAGGAGGCCTGTGAGTAGAAAGAAAGGAGGGTGCTTGAGAAAACTGAAGGAAAGATGGAAAGATGCATGTAATTCAGTGTAATAAAACAAGGGCCATCTCTGTGGCTACTCCCAGACCTTGGAACTCCCTCCCACTGGAGGCCAGGCTGGCCCCATCTTCGCTGCCCTTCCACAAGCAGCCAGAGACCAGGCAGGCTGTTCCGTAAGAACTGACTGTCTAGAAGACAATAAACGGGATGGCTTATATTTTGTTGCTTCTGAATCTGTTTTTTTGTAATGCTTTTGCCTAATATTTTTTAATTTAATGTGATTAATACTTTTAAATACTTGGATAATTTACAGTTTTTAGCTTTCCGTATAGTGTTTTTATAATGATATAAGTCACTTTGGGTCCTGTTTTAGGATAAAGGCAGATATACTGTATAATTTAAAACAGGACAAGGACATCCGGCTTCACCCAATTTTTTAAATTCTTGTTTCTTGGCCTTTTAAGTAGTCCAGGGGGTCTCTCTTAAGATCCCAAGGCAGACAGGTGGTCCTATAGGCCTGCCTGGGTTGCCCACCCCAGCCTAAAAACAACATCACATGCTACACTCCTCACCATGGGAGAGACTCTGATTTGGCAGTTGACTTGTTTGCAAGGCTTTTCAAGAAATGCAGCCGACCTTCCCCGTTCTGTTTCCAGAAAGCCCAGAGCCAGCTGAAGCTCCCCATTGTGCCGTCACTTCAGCGCCTGCTGATTTACCGTTGGGCCCACCAGGCCCTTGCGACACCTGCCGATCACCCTCTGCTGCCCCTCATCTGGCAGAAATTTTTCCTTCTCTACCTTCATCGCCCGGGGCCACAGTATGGGTGAGTTAGCGTTTTGCAGGGCCTTTTGGCTGAATTATGGGAGTCATTCAGAGCAGTAGCATCTTTCGATAGGTGGGCAGGCGGGTAGGTAGGTGGGTGGATGGATGGATGGATGAGAGGGAAGAAAGAAGGAAGGGAGGAAGAAGAAAGAGAAAGATGGAGGGAAGGAGGAAGGAAGCAAGGGAAGAAAGGAAAGGAAGAAAGGGAAGAGGAAGGAGGAAGAAAGGAGGAGAGAGGAAAGAGAAGGAAGGAAGAGAAGGAAGGGAGGAAGGAGAAGGAAGGAAGGAGAAGGAAGGGAGGGAAGGAAGGAAGGGATGGAGGGAGAAGAAGAGGGAAGGAAGGAAAGGAAGGAAGGAAAGAGGAGGGAGGAAGAAAGGAGGAGAGAGAAAAGAGAAGGAAGGAAGGAAAGAGAAGGGAGGGAGGAAGGAAGGAGAAGGGAGGAAGGAAAGAGAAGGGAGCAGAGAGGATGAGAGGGGAAAGAGAAGGAAGGAAAGAAAGAGAATGGAGAGAGGAGGAGAGAGGAAGGAAGGAAGGAAGTAGAGAGAAGGGAGGGAGGGAGGAGGAGAGAAGAAATAAAATGAAGGAAGGAATGGAACCGGAGAGTTGCAGCCAATTTGTATAGAGAGTATTGTCCTAAATGCCCTACTTCCCAACCTGGGATCCCCAGAGATTCTTGGATGGAGACTCCCAGAAGCCTTCCCCACGAGCTGTGCTGGGAGTTGTGGTCCAAAGACCTCTGGGATTCCAAGGCTGGGAAGCGTTGTGTTGAGGGACAAAGAGTCTGATCCGTTCGGGGCTGCTTCCAGTGTGTGCCTGTCTTGAATCAAACTGATATTTGGCCCAAGAGGAGCTTTATTCCTTTCTGGGGTGGGGGGGGCACAGGGATAGTTTGTGGAGTCTTTCTTCACATGTTCTAGGACCCTCTTGGTTGAGGCATTCTGGCAGTCGAAATGTGTTTTTTAGTGGGTGAGAAATACATCTGGAAATACAGTATATAGTTAAATCTTTAAAAATAAAATAAACAACAAAAATGGTAGATCAGTGTGGAAACAGAACAGAAAGGACTTTTCAGTGAATGCGCATGACGGTGCAGTCCAGGAACAGGCTCATAGGCCCGTCCTTAATTCATTATGTCTCATTCAATTAATGACACATCAGACATTTTTTTCCCTTTTTACTGTGGACCACCTCTTGAAGGGAGTCCACTCGTGTTGGTTGTCAGTGACGTGGGCTCTTTTTCTAAGCTTGCCCGTAGACGGCTGCATTGGGAAGCGGTTTTTCCAAAGTCCTTCTCACCTGAGTCTGTTAAGCGACCTGAAGCAGCGCCTGATCGAGGTGGCGGATTTCCACCACGCAGCCAGCAAAGCGCTCCGCGTGGATAGCCCGGCTTACGGCACCGAAAGCTCACCGGAAAAAGGGCCCAACAAACAACAAAAACAAAACAGTAGATCAGTGTGGAAACAGAGCAGAAAGGACTTTTGAGTTAATAATGCACATGGCAGTGATGCAGTCCAGGAACAGGCTCACATGCCCATCCTTAATTCATTGTATCTCATTAGATTAATGACACATCAGACTTTTTTTCCTTTTTAATGTGGACCACCTCTCGAAGGGATTCCGCTCGTGTTGGTTGTTAGTGATGTGGGCTCTTTTTCTAAGCTTGCCCGTAGACGGCTGCATTGGGAAGCGCTTTTTCCAAAGTCCTTCTCACCTGAGTCTGTTAAGCGACCTGAAGCAGCGCCTGATCGAGGTGGCGGATTTCCACCACGCAGCCAGCAAAGCCCTCCGCGTGGACGGCCCGGCTTACGGCACCGAGAGCTCACCGGAAAAAGGGCCCAGCAAACCTGACTACCTCCCCTCCCCTGAACTGCATAAGGAGCTTGTCAGGTAATCCTCAGCTCAAAAGGCTTTGCGGTCAAGTTCTTGTTCCTGAACAGAATCTCGGATGAGGATTCTGTGAGCAAACCGTTTGCTATCTGGGCTAAACTGGGAGGATCTCCAAGCTTGGGTTTGGGCAGTTTGGCCCCATTTTATTTTACAGAAGATGATGAACGTTGTACCCAAGCACTGGAGCCTCATGGTGCTGTGATTAAACTGCAGTACTTCGGTGAAGACTTTGCTCGTCACCTGAGTTTAGTCCCCTGAGTTTAGTTTGAGTTTGGTTCAGCTGTCCATCCTTCCGAGGTCGGTATTTTCCATGTATAAGATGCCCCATGTATAAAACTTTTCTAATCCAAAATTAAGAAATCTAACGTTGTACCCAAGCACTGGAGCCTCATGGTGCTGTGATTAAACTGCAGTACTTCGGTGAAGACTTTGCTCGTCACCTGAGTTTAGTCCCCTGAGTTTAGTTTGAGTTTGGTTCAGCTGTCCATCCTTCCGAGGTCGGTATTTTCCATGTATAAGATGCCCCATGTATAAAACTTTTCTAATCCAAAATTAAGAAATCTAAGTGTGGCTTAGCAAGGGTGGGGAGGAAAGGGATCAAAGCGCTGCAGGATCGCTTTGATCCCTGCTTTCCTCTCCACTTGGTTTTGTTCCCTCCTCAGCTTACTTCCGTGTATAAGACGACCCTCAATTTTTAGTTTAAAGATTTTAGAAAAAAGTATAGTCTTATACAAGGAAAAATACAGTGATTACCCAGCTCGCTGTAGCTTGCATAAGTAACTTATAAACGGCCCAGAGAGAGAGAGAGAGAGAGAGAGCGTTCCAGAGAGAGAGAGAGAGAGCTTTAAGCACTATGGAGTGCTTTATAAGCAGCACGCTTTGCTTTGCAATAGATAGAATGATCTGTGTCTAGTCCTGAATTGGAAATAAATGGTAATCCACTGAAATGTCCCTCTTGAACTGTCTCATGCCAGCTGCCTTTCGGGCCTGGCCACGCAGAGGCTGGTTTGGAACATAGGAAGTTCTGGCCGATGGATTGCTGTAGCTTCCCATCCGGCACAGTTTTTAGGCGGGCTCCGGATGATCTTCACATTTGCTGAGGCCAGCCTTCCAGTAACGCCGGCAGGGTCTTCAGAGAGGAATGGGGAACCTTAAGTCAAATCCTCTGGAGTCCTAAGCAGAAGACCTTTAAAAAAAGAAAACGGATCAGGCCTTTCCTGCCAACTTGGCTTTTCTTGGTCTTGCTTTCAGGCTCTTCAACATGTATATCTTGTGGCTGGAAGAGGAAAGTTTTCAGAAAGGCAACATCTACATTCCCTCCTTGCCGAAACAATACGACGCCCACAGGCTTGCCAAGATAATGCAGAACCAGCAGGTAAAACGGGTGGGGGGCCTGGTGGGTCCAGAACGGTGGACTCGGGGTGGCTCATCGCCCTCTGCCTGAATCAGTCGGAGGTCTATTGGAGACGTACTAGAGACACCTCCTTCCCTGCTGAAGCCCAGCTGTATTTACAGCATATGTTGGCCGCGGCAAAGAAATTTACAGACAGAGAAAACTATTTATTTATTTATTTGTTTATTTGTTTGTTTGTTTATTTAACTTATATACTGCCAAAACTACCCGAAGGTCTCCGGGCGGCTTACAACATTTAAAATACAATAAAAAGGCAAAATAAAAGGGCAACATAATTAAAATGCAATTAAAAATACATAATCTAAAAATTGCCATCAGAACCCACAGTTGATATTATTTCAATTAAAAGCCTTCTGGAACAGGAAGGTTTTGACTTGGCGCCGAAATGTCATCAGTGTCGGCACCAGACGAATCTCAGTCCGGAGGGCCTTCCATAGTCTGGGGGCAGATGCCGAAAAGGCCCTTTGTCTGCAAGCCATCCCTCTTGCCTCCTTAAGGGATGGCTCTTTCAAAAGGGCCCCCTGGCTAGATCTTAACTGCCGGGTAGGCTCATATAGAAGGAGGCGGTCCTTCAGGTATCCAGGGCCCATGCCATTTAGGGCTTTATATGACTCCCCCATGTATAAGACGCCCCCACTTTTCTAATCCAAAATTAAGAAATCTAAGTGGGAGTTAGCAAGTGTAGGGGGAAAGGGATCAAAGTGCTGCAGGATCGCTTTGATCACTGCTTTCCCCTCCACTTGTTTTTGTTCTCTCCTCAGCTTACTTCCGTGTATAAGATTACCCTCAATTTTTAGTCGAAAGATTTTAGACAAAAGTATAGTCTTATACACGGAAAAATATGGTACTTCTCCAAGCTCTTTAAAAAAAGTCGATGCTTCTGTCCAAATATAGTTGGCCAGATCCCCATTGCATTGCTTTTCTGCTGTTTCCTGTGTCTGAATCAACAATGTGATCCATTACAGGGGCATGGGACTGTGCCTTCTTGTTAGTCTATGTTTGCCTACTGAACGGGTTGTGGTTTTTTTTGCCTCCTGGTCCCATAGGATTTGTGGATAGAGTTTGTGGACATGGAACGCATTCAGCACGAATGCCAGGAAGCACTTGACTTTTGGTTTGAAGTCAGGGTAGAATCACATGCGGCCTCAAGTACTTTGTCGGTACAAACAGACTTCACCGACCCTTTGTTAGGTAAGTTGCATCAATGATCGAGTCTACAAATGCGCGGAAAACTTTCAGGACAGAGCTAGGCTGCAGGTGACCGTACTTGTTGCTAGAATTGCTAGGTGCTGCTCCCAGGTGGGAAAAAAAGGCATTGGCTGAAGTCAGGGGAATGAGTAGGCAAGCCAACAGTTAGTTACTATATTTTTCTGTGTATAAGACTATACTTTTGTCTAAAATCTTTAGACTAAAAATTGAGGGTTTTTAATAAGTAAGCTGAGGAGAGAACAAAAATAAGTGGAGGGGAAAGCAGGGATCAAAGTGATCCTGCAGCGCTTTGATCCATTTACCCCTACACTTGCTAAGCCCCACTTAGATTTCTTAATCTTGGGTCAGAAAAGTGGGGGCGTCTTATACACGGAAAAACACGGTAATTAGTTCGATCAGTCGGTCTGTTTAACACTCAAACTACTGAGCGGGTGATTTGTGTGGCTGCTTGTAGCAGCTGCTAGAATGACTGCAGTTGCTATAGGCACTTGGAGGCTCCTTCCAACATGGAGCTGTGTTTTCTGGAAGTGATGGGGAGCTGAAATGGATAAGGGACCGGACATCCTTGCTTCCAGCTTTCTGCAGGCTAGAGGACATCTGCACCAGGAAGCTCTGCTCGTCTGTGGGTTCCCAGAAGAATCCGAAGATAAGCAGGTGGGAGTTTGGGACAGGCAAGGAGACCTGGATTTTAGGAAAGCCAGGTCTGGTTCCTTGGTAGACCAGATCAGGCCTGGAAGCCAGGGAATGTGTTCTGTTTGGGTTAGGGTCCCAGTGGACCCAGGTAGCTGGTTCAAAAGGTTCACTCACCCTTCCATCCTTTGAAGGTCAATAAAATGAGTACCCAGCTCTTGGAGGGGAGGCAGCGTGTAACCTTCATAATTAAATTGTAAACCCACCAGAGAGAACTTTTAAACACTGTGGGGTGGTATGTAAAGCCAAAAGCAAAGCCAGCTGATTATATACCACGCCATAACGCTTAATGCATTCTTTGGTCAGTTTGCAAGTTAATTCTTCAAGGAGGGAGTGTGCAACCTTCATAATTAAATTGTAAATCCACCAGAGAGAACTTTTAAACACTTTGGGGTGGTATGTAAAGCAAAAAGCAAAGCCAGCTGATTCTATACCGCGCCATAACGCTTAATGCACTCTTTGGTCAGTTTGCAAGTTAATTCTTCAGGCTACACATTGCCAGACTCTTGAGAGTCCCCTGGACTGCAAAGAGAACAAACCTATCCATTTTGAAGGAAATCAATCCTGAGTGCTCACTGGAAGGAGATTCAGAACATGATGTGGAGAGGTTCTGAAAACATGGACGTGGGCGGGCGGTTTTGTTGTTGTTGTTGTTGTTGTTGTTGTTGTTGTTGTTGTTGTTGTTGTTGTTGTTCTTAGCACACCAAAGCAAACTTTCTAAGTTTGTCAGCCATCCAGGGAGGCGCTGATGTTGGCAGTGACGGCGTTCTGCTTCTCTCCTCTTCCAGCCAAAGAGAGAATTCTCAGCAGCTTGAAGAAGTACGACCTGCCTCAGCCCGCTCTTCCTCTCCAGCCCATGAAAGCGCCCGTCCCAGTGATCGCCTCCACGAGTTTGGTCAGCCCAAGCGAAGCCCAAGAGCTGGCTCGGGCCAACCTCCGGATCCTACAGCAACACGCCAAGTGAGAGAGACATCTCTGTGGGGGCCGCCGTTCGGTCTTCTCCCCATCTTGTGTTCAGTCACTGCGCCTTCAAATAGAAAGCGTAGGAAAGTTGTTGTTTTTCCTTTTAAACTTGACTAGGAGTTGTAGTGACTCAAACCACAAAGTCTTCCAAAACTTGCTTAAATGCAACCAGACTCCCTCTCTTCCTAGGTGAAATCCCTGAAGGCCTGTGTTTAAGAGTCCATGGTGTTGTCTATGACCCTTCTGAGGAAGTACGGTGCATTACACAGAGTCATGCCTTTCGCCTGTGTGTGATGTTGGTATTTGGGAAGATCCCCCTTGTTTGGGCCTTTATGAAAATTCTGGCTGAAATCCTGTTGACTTACGCAGTCAAGGAAGGGCAGTCAAGACATATATTTTCTAGACCAGCGGTTTCCCACCGTGAGATCCCCAGCCGTTCTTGGACGACAACTCCCAGCAATCCTGGCCAGCGTAGCTAAGTGATGAAGGCTTCTGGGAGTTGTAGTCCAAGAACCTCCAGGGCCCCAAGCTTGGGAACCTCGGTTCTAAACAGTCTGTTGTCTCCTCCTCTTTGTGCGGACTGGATTTTGCAGACTGGACTTGCAGTTGTCAGTTGTGGAGAAGGGTTAAGGGAAAGGAGCAGTGGTTTTCCCTGGCTTGCAAGTTAGAGCCTATTAAATAAAAGAATAGGAATAATATTTAATGTTGACTCTCTCTTCTGTGATTTCTCTGTTTACCCTTCTTCTTTCCTAAATGTATGGATGGTTGCTTTTTCAGATCGGCAGCCCTCCGGGAGTCCCAGCAAGTGGCGTTCAACAACGAGATCTTGGACACACTGCCAAAACTTTTTAGCAATCGAGAAGAACAAATCACCCTTTCGCTGGAGTGTCGCGGCAGCGCTGGTAAAGGTTGCCAAGGAGCAGCGCTTGTCACAATCCAGGTACAAAGAAAAAAAATCCCCACCTTCGAAGAGCTCGGCCGGCCTCCCCTGCCCAAGGTCTCTGTTCTTTGTTGGGGATGAGCTCTAAGGCTAAAGCATCATCAGGCTGCAGGAAGTGATGGAAAAGACCCTTGGCGGCCTCAGGCCTTAGAGAGTTACTGCTGGTTGGAGGAGGTGATCGTTGGAGTTGATGAGAATGAGCGAAGCTGGCTGGATAGCACAGTGAAACCAGAGGTTGGGAATTCGGTTCCCCCCATGCCAGAAGAGCCAGCCTGTGTGGCCTTGGGCCAGCTGTGCAGTTCCAGGGCTCCCCCTAGAGGAAGGGGACGGCAAACTCAGTCCGTGGTCCGATGCCGGTCCGTGGCCTGAGCTGGACCGGGCCATGAACACAGACTTCCCCCCCCCACTCCCCTTCCCACAGCTCCTTTGCATATGTGTGTGCATCCCAGTGCTGGCATGAGCACTTCCTCACCCCTTCATGCATGCACCCGAGCACCTGTGTGGGTGTGCAGGCACTCCTGCGCATGCACGAAGGGGTGGGGGAACGCTCACACCGGCGGGGGCGTGCTCCCTCACCACTTCGCGCATGCGCCTGAGAACACGCACGCACCCGAGAATGCGCGTGCATGCGCCTAAGCATGTGGCGGTGGCCCCCCGCTTTTCTCAGAGGCTTAGCCGGTCCGTACTCCCAGAGGAAGGGAACAGCAAACTACTTCTGAGTCTTCCTGAGTCTTCCTTATGTCGAAAACCCTGGAAAGGGTCACCGTAAGTCAGAGTTGACTTGATGGCCCATGAGGAGGGTGAGAATGGGCAAAATGTGGAACCGGGGCCTTAAATGTATCCTTAAGGTCACCTTGTCTCCTGTCACTCTTCAAAAGATGAGTAAATAAAAGGTCAAAATGGAATCATGTGATGTTATGTAGGGTAAGCGTACATCAGAAGAAGTGACCGCTAACTATTTAGAGTTTTCCAAAAGGGCTACTCTGAGGGGTTTATTATTTGTTTTTTAAAAAACACAGGCAAAATCGTCTCTAGACCCACTAGAGGCTGCAAAAGGCCATTTCAAAATTTTAAAAAATTGTGTTTTTTAAAAAAAATATTGGGGTTTGATTTAGGACAGTCCTCTAATGTATAGGGAAAACTGTGCGCAGCTCCTGGACCTCTGGAAGTTTCCACCACTGCATGACTTAGACTATTAATTTAATTCTGCTTTCCACTTTATAAAATCTTTTTGTCTTTTTCTATCTAAGCATGAGGACTAGAAACCTGCCCCTCCCCCCTGACTTTTTAAATGAGGTTCTAATTCTCAGAAACCAGGAGCTGGGGTTCTGCAGGGCGGCCTTCTCTTCCATTCCCGCTGCGTGTCTGCGATCCAAGTTGGATGAGCGTTTGCGAGGGCCCCGCTGTTAACGAGTCGATCTCCTTTTCAGTTTGAAGGAAAGCACAGGAACGAAGCGGTCGCTCAGCAGCTTCACGTTTTGGAGAAAGAAGTGGAAGATCTGCTGGCGGAAGCCACCCGGCTGCCTTCGCTCGGTGTCGTGGAAGCCGCAGTTCACATGGAAAACTTCATCACGTAAGCCACGTCTCTGGTCTCTACCACGAGCCGGGGTGGGCTCTTAGCTGGGGTTGCAGACTGTGCCTTTTTTCATCGGGTGGATGTAACACAGCGCGGTTAAATCAGAACAGACCTGGACCTAAAGACTTTCAGGATCCCGGGTTCACGCTGGGACTTTCCTGGACCCTTTTAGAGTATTGCCTCTGAATGTCAGGGATCCCCCGGAACAGGGTTGTTTGACCACTTCCCCCCCTCACGTCCTCCAGATGGTCCTGTCCATTTTCGTATAGATATTATGGGTCTCCTGGCCACTGAGATGACTTCCGTGTTGTGTGCACTTCCGTCATCTTAAGTAAGCTCTGTATCAGAGAGCTCAATTAATAAATGAATTAATAATTATCGCTGTGGGCTAAACCGCAGAAGGCTTTGTGTGCTGCAGGGTCAGAAGACCAGCAGTCGGAAGATCGAATCCATGCGACGGAGGGAGCGCCCGTCGCTTGTCCCAGCTCCTGCTAACCTAGCTGTTCGAAAGCATGTAAAAATGCGAGTAGATAAATAGGGACCACCTCAGTGGGAAGGTAAACAGCGTTCCGTGTCTAGCTGTGCTGGCCATATGACAATGGAAACTGTCTTCGAACAAACGCTGGCTCTACGGCTTGAAGATGGGGATGAGCACCGCACCCTAGAGTTGGACACGACTGACTAAAATGTCAAGGGGAACCTTTACCTTTACCTATTTATATCTTGCCTCTTCTCCAGTGCACACCAAATGGCATTGCTAATTCTTCTCCCTCCCCCACTTTATCCACATGATGACCCTGTGAGGTCGGCGAGTCTGTGAGACTGAGCCTGGCCCAAGGAATACCCTATGGGATTTGGGGCCAAGTGGGGATTCAAACCCAAGCCTCCTAAGTTAGGAATACCCTATGGGTTTTTGGGGCCAAGTGGGGATTCGAACCCAAGCCTCCTAAGTCATAGGACATATCTCTGGCCGCTACAGTACATTGACTCTCATTGATAGGACTGGCCGCTACAGTACATTGACTCTCATTGGCGTCCCGTCAACTGATGCCTTGCCGACACACTTCCTTACTCTCCTGCAGGGAGAACTGCATTCTGCCCTCTGTGATGGCAGTGGTCAAGGAGAGCCCTTTTCTCTGTTGGCTGGCATGGAAGCCAAATGGACGGGCAAAGGAAGCAAGCAAGCAAACCTAGCTTTGCCACTTCCAGCCCCCTTGTCTTCATCCTCTTCCTCACTGTCTGTGGGGGTCGTGTGAAGTGTTTAACTGCAAGGCAGGGATAACTCTTGAACGCATCTTCGAGAAGGTTTTGCTGACTTGTTTCTCTGTTCTTTCACGCTTTTCTCCAGAGCCTTAATAAATCTTTATAAACGTCAGCCTGTGCCTGGGATTCAACGAGTGGGGATCAATATGTTCTTTTCTGTGGTGGAGTTTGTGTGTGAGGAAACGCAGCGCCACCCGCCCACCCGGCAGTTCTTCACCTCCTGCATTGAGATCCTCGGCCAGGTGAGTTGTTCATGATGTGACTCTGTGGTTGCTGTCGCTTATGGAATTTTTTATCCGCTTGGTTTATTTATTGCATTGATTGATTCATTGATTGATTGATTGCATTTATATACTGTCTGTCTAGCGACAAGCTATTACTCCAGATGGCTTCCGATACATAAAAACACCCAGTCCCCCTCGCCTTAACCCCAAAGACAAACAATCCGAATAAATCCAAATAAAAAACCCCCAGTAGCGGCGGCAGCAGGATAATAAAAATTAAGCATAATAACATAAGAATCTTCCACGGGGGAAGATGTTCCCAAAACCCTCTTCTTTAGATCCAACTTTACTTCCTCCTAAGAAATATATATTTTTTATCATAATCTGAACTATATTTTCATGGTAGAGACTTCCTAACACCATAGAGGGTCTTGAAGATAATCCATCCAGCTGTGGAATTTAATGCTTTAAATCTGAATATGAAATAACCCCGCAGGAAATCTTGCTGAGTAGGTTTAGCTGAGAGTCGGAGACAATTATCTCTATAAAGCCACAAGTGCAAGCATTTGCTAATCCATGGAATAATTCATCAAAGCAACGATGGATTTCTCCCAGGAGCATTCTGTACCTTAGCCCACTGTCTTAGCCTAGGTGTAAAGCAGAACTTAAGAGAAGCTACAGCTTTGATTCGCAGCTTTCAAGAATCCCCAGCCTGTGTGGCCATTAACTGAGGGATTCTGGGAGTTGAAGTCCAAAAAGTCATTTCCCCAACTCTGATATGAACATATATTATGGACACATTAAACCTGATGCTGAGTGTTTGTAGGAAGCTGTCTTACCCGTATCCCAGCAGTTCCCAACCTTGGGTCCCTGGATGTTCTTGGACTACATCTCCCAGAAATCCTGGCCAGCACAGCTAGTGGTGAAGGCTTCTGGGAGTTTTAGTCCAAGAACACATAGGGACCTAAGGTTGGGAACCTCTGGTCTAACTCAATGCAGTCAACTCTTAACTTGCATGTGTGGGTCTCCAGGTTTTCAGCCAGGGGTTTGTTGTTGTTGTTGTTTTTGCTAGGCCAACTTAGGGATCTCTGTTATTCTCTGCTGGCCATCCGTCCAAGTCTTAACCAGGCTTGGCCCTGCTTAGCTTCTGAAATTGGAAGATCCCTGTGTTTGGGGTGGTGCAGCTGCGTAAAAACAGGTGACGTTTCTGTCAGAAGTGGCAAAGTCAGGTGTATCATGTAGGGACCACGCAGCGCTGTGTGTGTTTTTTTCCCCTAAGCAAATACAGACAACCCCTGCCTCTTTTTTTCCAGGTGTTCATTGCTGGAACCAAATCCGAATGCTGGCCAGTGCTGAAGACCATTCTGAAGAACCGGAGGCTCTGCACCCTCCTGTCTCCTTACTTCACTCCGGCTGCCTCCCCGGAGCAGTTTGTCCGCTTGTACGAGGCCGTGGTGTCTGTCCACTGCGAGGACAACAGCGACGTCATTTTCATGCTGCTCACAAAGGCAAGAGGCTGGGAAACGCTCTCTTTCGGGTTGGGGAGTATCCCTGGGAACGTGGGAGAGTTCCTTTTTTTGGGGGGGGGAGGACTGCAGTTGGCAGAATCTCTAGAGTTCCAGAAGCTGTTGCCAGCACTACACCCAGTTTTTCCAATCTCATACCTGGGTTTCTCCTCCTTTTAAGCAAGGAGATAGATGCAGAAGAATTGCAGTGAGAACAGTATCTGATGGGCTGCACTCTTTTAATCTACTGGAGCAAGACTTTGAGTGTAAACAATGTTCCTCTTACAATGCCAAAGCAAGCCAGTGCAAGGCCTGCTCAGAGCTTGGAAATGTTGCTCCCCCCCCCCCTTGACTGCAATGCTTAGCATCCCTCAATCAAGAGTTGCTCCTTGGTCTCGTTGGCTGGAGAATCCTGGGGTTGTAGAAAAGCAGCAATCAGAATTGTTCTGCAGACGTAACCCTTGCATAAGGCCACCCGTTTCAGAGTGGGTGTCAAATAGCCACACCTCAGCTCCTCTTGCTTGCTTTTTTTCTTTCTCTTACTCCTTTGTTCATTATGAATTTGTATTTTTAGGAGGAGGGGATTCCCAAAGGAGTGGGGAGAGAGAGAAAAGAAGGAACGTGCCAGCTCTCCTGGTCTGCTCCCAATTTTGCATCAAGGGTCTGTTACCTGTCCTGGCCTTCTCTGAGATGTTTGGTTTGAGGCCCATGTTAAAATTATTGATCCGTAGGTCCTTGGAGCTGTGTAAAATATAAAATAAATCAAAAATGAAATGAAAAACAAAGGAGACACTTTCTTTTACCCGATAGGGAACATCAAGGCACTTCCTAAATGAGGCAGAGACCTCCTTTCCTCTCTTCCAGCTTGGAACTCAGCGTCTGCCGTGAGATTCCTTTGTGCCAACCAGTCTTTTTTTTCTCTCCCCCCCCCTCCTTCCCATTTAGTTTGACCTCCAGCAGTGGCTGCAGAGTTCCAGGCCCCCGCTGTCGGAGCGGACCCGGCTCCTGGAGGCCATCCACTTGGCTCTCAAGGTCTGCGGCTTTGACCCCGAGGAAGAGGTTCTGATGCCGTTTTCTATTTTCTGTAAGCACTGGATGTCTCTCCTCCGGTACCAGTTTCCCGACCACTACAGCAGCTTCCTGAGGCTACTCATGCAAAGTAAGTGCCACCCCACGGAAGGGTCCTTTGAAACTTACCTGGCTGGTCTGCAGGTAAGAACCCAATGAGAGCACAGGAAGAACCCTAACCCTCCCCTCCTCCACATTGTGGATAACTTTCTCTCTCTCTCTCTCTCTCTCTCTCTCTCTCTCTCTCTCTCTCTCTCTCACACACACACACACACACACACACACACTGAATTAATCCTGCACCATAACTTCTCCCCATGGGGAGGTGCTTCACAATCCATGGCAGTACCTTTCTGTACATTTTCTGTGAATACAGTTATTGCTGCACGGGAGCGACTGATACTGTGCTGTGCCAGCAAATCCAGCGTTCCACAAGGCGGTTCTAAAAACAGGGGCAACCCAAACAACAACAAAAAATTTACAAACCTTCAAACTTTCTGTTTTCTGAGCAGAAACAGATGCAACTTGTTGAATTTTTTTTTTAGTGCTCCAATAAAGCAAATCACTCATTCTTGCATTTGTGTGATCTTGGGAAGCACTCCCCCTAAGTGTTTCATAGATTAATCTATGTCATAGGCAGAATATGAACATGAAGTGTGTCCTATGTGAACTTGTAGGTCAGGAACCTCTTGCGTTTTTTTATGCACCTCATAGGGATCGCAGGACATATTGACAAGCTTCTGGGTGGAGGCCCAATCACATACCTGGGAACTTGTCAGCTACGATGAACTGCCTCAGTTTCTGTGGTTTTTCTTCTGCTTGTATAAAAACGCAGTGGGGCCCTGTCTATCATGTGTAATATAACTCATATACAGTAAGAGAAACTATGCTGTTTCCTTTACTTGGGTAACTCACGCTACACTTCTTGTTTTCCTCAAGGGAGGTTACTGGCTCTGGGGTCAGAAAGAGTAATGCAAGCCACTCATGCTTTCCACTGCGGTATTTTGGCATGTGTTTTGCCAATACTCTTTCAAGCGTATCTTAATCATGTGGAGGGTGAGCGCTCCAATGCTGGAGGCATTCAAGTGAAAATTGGAGCATCCTCTTGTCAGATCTGCTTTGATTTGAGTTCTTGGCTTGAGCAGGGGGTTGGACTCGATGGCCTTATGGGCCCCTTCCAACATGGTTGTCTATGATTCTGTGTCTAGAAATCTGTTTTTCAAAAAGGAATGGAGGAAAGTTAAGATCCTCAAGCATCAGATTCTCCACTCCGCAGCCTATTTTGCTTTTCCCCCCCTGCGCTTGCATAGAGTCATGCTATTGGTTTGCCTTGAACTATCCTAAGTTGTAAAATGGATGTGGTGGCGTTGCGGGTTAAACCGCAGAAGCCTCTGTGCTGCAAGGTCAGAAGACCAGCAGTCGTAAGATTGAATCCACGCGACGGAGTGAGCTCCCATCGCTTGTCCCAGCTCCTGCCAATGTAGCCATTCAAAAGCATGTAAAAATTCAAGTAGATAAATGGGTGCCACCTCAGTGGGAAGGTCACGGCGTTCCGTGTCTAGTCGCACTGGCCACGAGACCACAGAAACTGTTTCCAGACAAAATGCTGGCTCTACGGCTTGGAAACGAGGGTGAGCACTGTCCCCTAGAGTCAGACATGACTGGACAAAATGTCAAGGGGAACCTTTACCTTTATCCTAAGCTGTAAGGCAGCTGAACCCCCAACACAGCCGCGCTGCTTGGAAGTGATGGAAATTTGCCCCCCCCCCCAATCTGGAGGACGTGTGCCGTTAGGTGGAGGCCGCTGTGGCGCAGGTCTGAGGACTGTGGTCTGTTATTGAGTTGTGCTGTAAGGCAGCTGAACCCCCAACACAGCCGCGCTGCTTGGGAGCGATGGAAATTTGACCCGCCCCCCCCATCTGGAGGTTGTGTGCCGTTAAGAGGAGGCCGCTGTGGTGCAGGTTCTGAGGACTGTGGTCTGTTATTGAGTTGTCCGCTTGCTGGCTTTGCCCACCCAGGTTCCTCGGATCAACTCCTCAGCCCCGAATGCTGGAAGGCGTCCCTGAAAGCATTGGGGTGCCCCTCCGTAGCACCTCAAAAAGACGCTGGTAAAGAAGAGGCCAGTGAGAACGTCGCACTGCCTGCTTCTGCGGAGCCATTTCTCTCAGCGGAACAAGTGAGTGGCCGTCGCTGGCTGTCAAACGGGAACAGGCAACTGGTGGAAACCTGGGGGCCATGTCCACGTCCCCACCAGACCTTGGAGGGTTATGTTGTCTTCACTCCCCGTGCCTGAGACATACATTCGATTTAAGTTTTATTTTTGACCTTGATTCCGGAGGCTTCCAAATAGCATCCTTTAAGGCTCAATGTGTCATTTTGTGCTGTCCCTCCTGGTCTTAACACGAGCCATCTAGTCATTTCTGGTTTTGGGGAAAAAATCCCCTTCTTGGCCTTGATAGAGTCAGGGCTGCCATCCCATTCCCCCTAGATCGGTCATTTAAAAAAGGAAGGGATCGGGGGGGGGGGACGCAAGATACCCTGCATTTGTCTCATGGGTTTTGTGTTACTTCCCCCACCCCTCTGCCATTGAGCCTTGATGTCTTCAGGCAGCATCACAGATCCTCCCCTTGGCACAAATGATTTTTGGCTCGACTCAGCCCCTGATCTCCTATCTGTTGATGGAAAAACCCAGAAACCGCGCTCAGAGGCTAAGAATGGGGTAAACCCAAAGGTGTGGGGAGGAAAGGGAGCAGGCTGGCCCTGCCTACACCTCTGTCTCTCTCTCTCTCCCTTCACATGGAAAGGAAAAGTCGGAAGAGGCCGTGGCCCTCTACTTACGTAGCCTCTCCATAGGATGAAAACCCTGATTTTTTTTTTCCCATCATGGGGGAATTTTGAGAAATAGCCCCAGCTGAGCATCTGAAGCACTGAAGCTACATATACGGATGGTCTAGGGAGGGGAACCTTAAGGGGGTTGCAGGGGGTGGGAAAGATCCCGCCAAAATGTTGTTCAGTCAAGGAGGAGAAGATTAGAGGGGGGTCATTCTCACCTCTTTGTCACGAGATCGCTCCCTTTCCACCCCCCAAATGAGGGTATTGCATGACATCAGGCAGGGAGAGGGGCTGGAATCTGCGGGTGGTTCATCTCGTAAGGTGATTTCTTGAGATTTCATGAGGGTTTCTGTTCCCCAGGAGGTCCATACTCGCCAGTGAGATGGCAGGGGGTTCATTGACCATGTCTACTATAGCGAACCTTGGGGTGGGGATGGCCCGTGGATTTTGGCCACCTGCTGTTGTATAGCAGTAGAGGGCCAGATCAAGAAGGGGACCTGGGTTCAAATCCTTGCTCAGCGAGTCTGAGTGGCTTTGGGGCTGTTGCGACAACTAAGTCTAACCCATCTCACAGCCATGGAGGTATGGTGAGGTGTGCATGTACCTATCAATCACTCTAAGGTATGTGGTAAAGAGCAAGGATTTTAAAAATATGGCTAGGTCCTTAATCAGTAGAGGGCCAGATCAAGAAGGGGACCTGGGTTCAAATCCTTGCTCAGCGAGTCTGAGTGGCTTTGGGGCTGTTGCGACAACTAAGTCTAACCCATCTCACAGCCATGGAGGTATGGTGAGGTGTGCATGTACCTATCAATCACTCTAAGGTATGTGGTAAAGAGCAAGGATTTTAAAAATATGGCTAGGTCCTTAATAAAAACCTTTGTCTGAGTGGCTTTGGGGCTGTTCTGACAACTAAGTAACCCATCTCACAGCCATGGGGGTATGGTGAGGTGTGTATGTACCCATCAATCACCCTAAGGTATGTGGTAAAGAGTAAAGATTTTAAAAATATGGCTAGGTCCTTAATAAAAACCTTTAGCCCACACACTGATGAGTGGAGAGTCACGGGGCCGTTTGAGCCCTAATGAGTGTTATGTGGCCTATCTCAGAAGGATGGTTACACGTTCTCGTGGAGCGGAGAGGGCAGGCGGCGCCCCTTCTTCCCAAGCCTTATTCTTTCCCTCTTCTCCTGGCAGGTGGCAGAGACGATAGAATGGCTTTCCGACTACTTCGTCAAGCTGCGCTGGTCTTCGCAAGACTTCCAGAGCTTTGGTTTGTTTTCAAAATGGGCTCCGTACATCCCCGAAGTAAAGCGGTTTGTGGAGTATCTGGTCAACCAGCTCATTTACTCGGAAGTCAGCAGCCTATCGCGAGAACCAGTGGGAAGCAAGAGGGTTTTGTCAGGTAACTCCCTTCACCTGGAGGTGGGTGGGATGTATTCGTGGCAGGCATTAAATTAAAAAAATACCCCATGGAGGCGTTTAAAAGAATAACCATGTGCCGGCCTGTCGGTTCTGACCTATGGAAGTCCCTTCCCGGGGTTTCTGAGGTTGAAAAGGGGTTTCCCATCCCCTTCTTCTGGGGGTGCCCTGGGATCTTTTTGCAGCTGGCTCAAGGCTACACAGGCTGGCCCTTCTCTCGGGAGGCACAGCGGGGGAATCGAACTCTCATCCTCTGGCTCCCCAGCCCAACACCTAACCCGCTCAACTCTCCAGCCAGCTATTGAGGCTTTTAGAAAGACACAGCAGGGGAATCAAACTCCCAACCTTTGGCTCCTCAGCCAGAGAGCTAACCCACTGAGCTCTCCAGCCAGCTATTGAGGCTTTTAGAACATAGTTAAAATCAGCATTCAAGGAGGTGGAATGAACTGGTGCTGTTCTTCTCCGGTGGCTCTGCCCCCTTTTCATTATTCTTCAACCTTGCATACTTTATATTAACTAAATTCTGGATCTCTGGGCAGAGCTAAAGAATTTCCAACATCCAGGCTCAGCGCCAAGAGTTTAGGAAAGTTTCTACCAAAGGAGAGTCTTGCATCCTTTCCTTTTCTAGTGGGCTCAGAGCATTTTACCCCACTTTTCAGCAGGAAAAAGCAAAGCAAAGTGTGCTGCTTATATAGACCCCATACTGCTTATAAAGACCCAGCGTGCTTTGCCTAAGATCAGAAAGCACAAGACATTCCCTATACTCATAAGCTTCCAATCCCAAATCCATGGCACGAAGGTCGAAAAGGAGATAAAGAATGAAAAAGGATACAAGCAAGTACAGGCGCTGATCCTTAATACTTGTTAAGAGCGTCTTCCCGGCCACCCCTCTGATGGGATGCTGCTGCTGCTAGGTCAGGAGGGAGGGAGGGAAGGGCCAAGAGGAAGTGGTTTTTCAGTAAAACTTGTTGGAACGGCTTTGCTTCCAGTCTCCTTATTTCTCCAGTGTTAATCCTGTGCTTCTGTATAGCATCAAAGCAAAGCGTGCTGCTTATATACCACTTCACAGCACTTAAAGCACTATCTGGGTGGTTTACAAGTTTAATTATGCAGACTACAAACATTCCCCCTCCCCCAGCAAGCTGGTTTCTCAGTTTATTGATCTCGGAAGAATGGAAGGCTGACTCATCCTTGAGTTGGCTCCCTGGGATTGAACCCGGGTGGTGAGCGGAGTTTTGGCTGCAGGATTGCGGTTTAACCTCTGTGCCACGCCAATGGGAGTTTTGGCTGCAGGACTGCGGTTTAACCTCTGTGCCACGCCAATGGAAAATGTCTGCTATCACCTCTTTAGCATGCTGCTTCTCTGATTTTCAAGACGGCTCCTATAGGACCTCTAGCCAGTCTCATGAATATGCACCACCTAGATCCAAAGCTGCTTAGCTTCAGTGGGGCAGAGTTACTCTACATGTGCTTTTCATGCCGAAAGTCCAAAGTTCCATTTCCACCATCTCCATTTTGAGAGTACCTTTTACCTGGGCTCATGAGCAAAATTTTGCAAAGCAGAATAGACCGTGCTGGGCTAAGAGGACTGGTGATGTGACCCATTCCAAGGCAGATCTGTGTGCTCAAATTCCAGTACAGTCCTCTGTGTGTCTACTCAGAAGAAACTCCCTTTAAATTTGACAGGGCTTCTACCCGGGTTCAATGAGTGTGACATGTTAGCCTTAAGCTTATGTTTACTCATTTTGTAGACCATAATTGAACTGCTAGGGTGTTCATAATTGAATTAGTGTGAATTGCTGATAGCTCAATGGTTTAGGTCTCTGGCGGCAGAGCCAGAGGTTGGGAGTTCAATTCCCCCACTGTGTCTCCTTGACAGGGGTTGGACTGGATGACCTTTAGGGTTCCCTTCAAACTCTACAGTTCTGTTTATTTTTATTACTAGATTATTATAATTGGCAGATTACGGTGAATAGCAAAGAGTAATATGTCATGCAGAAAACTTCAGAGTCCTGTTTCTTGACACCTAAATGTGCTGCTTAGCCCACTTCTGGGGTTTTCACTGGCATTTCCTATCACTTTTTGAACTTGCCTGTGCCGTATTAAGGCCTAGAGAGATTGTTTATATTTTATTTATTTATTTATTTTGTTTCGCAACATTTGAAAGCTGGCACTGTTTTATAACTCAGTTCAATTTCTGGGTCTCTGTAAGTGTTCTTCCTGACAACACAGCCCTTTTGCCAAAAAGAGGTTGAGAGTTTGCGATTCAAAATAACTTACACAGGTTTTTCTTCCTTCCCCCAGCACTGCGTTCTTTGCATTTAGTCATCACCAAACTCTTTAAGCCTTGGGTGGAAATTTTAGCGAGAGAAGATGCAAGGTATGTAGGAAGCCAGCAGGCTCTTTCACATACTCTTGTTGGCATACTCTTTTGGAAGAAGGAGCGCACTCTGAATCTGACGTTTGCAAATAATGCAGGATTATGCCTGTTCATAATTACGCTGTTTTAAATGCTTGCGACGTGATTATGATGGAGCAGAATTCTGTTTCTATGATGTCTGGCACTCCCTTTTATTCAATTTGTGCAAAAACATGCATTTTGTATCTACAGTTCTCTAAGAATTTTGGGTGTTCACAGATCATACAATTTCTTCCTCTTATGTTTCAATATTCATTTTTAAAAAAAATTATTTAGAAATGTTTAAAACCACAACAAATGTTTTCAGTACTCTTATATTTTCATTTCCTTTCTTTGAAGCAGACTATTGAGACTCTAGTAGCAAAGATTTTTAGACTGTTTTCTCCCTGGAGGCTTAGAAGTGTGGTTGATCAAGGAGTGCATTATCAAAAAACTTGAGCACTTTTAGCTTTTCAAATACTCTGCCAGTAGCACCTGCCCACGCGCAGTTGTCCTATCCTGCAAAATCCTTGCTTTTATGAAAAAACCTTGTTTCACTGGTAGAAGAGACTTGAGAATTGTCAGACTTCCTGGTTGAGAAAGGGAGTTCCAGATCTATGGAGGAGTCATTAAAAAAACAACCCTCAACTTTTCTACCATAGATTGGAAGTTCCGCATTTTGGGGAGCAGAATTCATGGAATCCCCCAGCCAGGCCAGTGGTGCATAAGGGGGCTACATTCCATGAAAACGTATGGCAAATAAAAAAAATTTACTCTTTAAAATACCACAAGACTCTGAGTTTTTTGATGCAATGGCCTGGCATGTCTCCTGTTTGGGATTTTTTGGCCACCAGTGTAAACAGAACTGGTGTCGATGTATCGGTGGTCTAGATCAGTGTATGGAAGCACCCAATGTTCCTTTGGGCTGACTGACCTGGAGGGTTGGGTAAAAACTCAAGAGAAACTAGCAGGAAAAATGGTTGTTGGCTAAAGCCTTCATGATCACCTTTTATCTTTTCAAGCAAACAGCCCTGCTATCCGTGGTTGGAAAGCGATGCACCTGTAGCTTCCGAGATGGTACAGTCCTATGCCAAGAGCATAGGCGTGTTGCACGAGAGTTTTAAAGGTAAGAGTAAAATCGAGAGGGACACCATTGAAATTGTTCCTTCGTGTTGTCACTCTTGATCTGTAAAACCTTCTAATTGGCCTGTCTCTCAATTGCACCTCATTTGTGGGGTTTTCTTTTAAGCTTGGACAAATGAGACCTTGGAAAAGTAATGTCTGAACATCGATTTCAATTACTGTAATTTTCCATGTATAAGACTATACTTTTGTCTAAAATCTTTAGACTAAAAATTGAGGGTTGTCTTATACGTGGAAGTAAGCTGAGGAAAGAACAAAAATAAGTGGAGGGGAAAGCAGGGATCAAAGTGATCCTGTAGGGCTTTGATCCGTGCTTTCCCCTCCACCTGCTAAGCCCCACTTAGATTTCTTAATTTTGAGTTAGAAAAGGGGGGCGTCTTATACATGGGGTGTCTTATATATGGAAAAAAATACAGTATACCTCCCAGAATCCACCAGCTAGGATAGTCCCTAGCCTTGCCAGCTAGGACATTCTGGGAGTTTTAACTCCAAAAAAGAAGTAACTTACCAATCCTTGGCAGTTTGGCCCAGTTCATTTCCCTCAGCAACAGGTGTTTTGGTGGTTCGGTGCCCTGCCCCCTCTGACGGATGCCCAGCCAGAGGCAGCGTCCTGGCTTCCTGCCCCACCTCCTCTGGCCACTGCCCCTGAGGGGGCGCCCACCAGAGGGGGCAGCGCACCGAACCACCAGAGACCTGTTAAAGTGGTAAACGAACCAAGATGAACCACCGAACTGGCGGTTTGTGCCCATCTCTTCTCCAGCTGGACTCCAGGAGAGGGTGGAATCTTGGGAGGGGGTTACTCTTCCCACTGGCTCTGATGGGCAAGGCGTATGTGTGCTAAATTAAGAATTTAATTTAACTGCCCAGAGCGGCCTGGTGGCCAGATGGTGCAGGGTATAAATCCAATAATCACCGTCATCATCATCTCTGTCTTCGGCCATGGGAAAAAAGTCACTACTCTTTCCTATTTTCTGGTATGCTGCTGCTCAAGTGCTCTGGTTCCATTTTCCAGTCCAAACCTGCGAACAGAAGAGAGAGAGAGAGAGAGCAGATGCTGATTAGTTTCATGTCTGCTTGTATCATGAAGGCCTACGGGTAACTCCTCAAAGTAGTGGCTCAACGAACCACTAAAATAATATCCCCTTTTGCTCCCGAGAGGAAAGGGCACTCTGAGAACAATGCACATCCTGTTTGGAAGCTCACTCAGAGCTAACTCTGAGCCTTGTGGAAGCTTAAACCCTGCACCTAACATGGGTTAGGGACATGGATGGCGCTGCGGGTTAAACTGCAGAAACCTCTGTGCTGCAGAGTCGGAAGACCAGCCGTCGTAAGATCGAATCCACGCGACGGAGTGAGATCCCGTCGCTTGTCCCAGCTCATGCCAACCTAGCAGTTGGAAAGCATGTAAAAATGCGCGTTGATAAATAGGTACCACCACAGTGGGAAGGTCACGGCGTTCCGTGTCTAGTCGCGCTGGCCACGTGACCACGGAAACTGTCTCCAGACAAAACGCTGGCTCTACGGCTTGGAAACAAGGATGAGCACCGTGCCCTAGAGTCGGACACGACTGGACTCAATGTCAAGGGGAACCTTTACCTAACATGGGTTGGATTAGCTCAATAAAGGAAGCCACAAGCTTCAGGGGCAAGACTCTCCAGACATACGAGTGACCTGAATCAGTGAATGGCAGCAATCAAGGTTCAACATTATTTTATTTAAAAATATTTTTACCCTGCCTTTGTCCTTAAGAAGGACCCAAGGTGGCTCACATCATTCAAAGACAATCTATAAAGAAAAAAAAACTACCAGTAAAGATACGAAAATACTAAAAAGGATCACGACAGGACTTTCTGGGTTGTCGTAAGTTGGAAACCACTGAATGGCAGATGATGGCAGCCTTCTGACTGACTGTCCTAGAACCATTCAGACCAGGGGGGTTTCAGGGACTTTTTCGTGATTAAAAGGTGACTGGCTCAGTAAACACACTGCATGATTTCTCTCGCCCTTTCAACCTTCTGGCAGTGAATTTGCCTGGGAAAAAGCCACTCAGGAATGAGTAGTAGAGACAGACATAGTCATTTGAAGGCTTCTGGCATGTTATGAGATGAGATGAGATGAAATGAGAGAGAGAGAGAGAGAGAGACCGATGGACCCCTGGTCTATTGAGGGGGGTCTCACGTTTGCTTGTCAGCTCTGTAGCTTTCTTATGGTTTCATCTGAGCTCAGGTTGGGACGTATGGCCCCAAACCTACCTTTTAACCTTCCTGTCTGCTGTTTCCCTTTTGCTCCAGATAAGCTCTTGCTGAGCCACCGTGGGGCACTTTGGCTGCATCTGATGCACTACTGCCAACGGTTCACAGGGGCCAAAATGCCGGAGCACATCCTCTATGCATTCCACACGGAGTTTGGTTCACTCCCCTGGAAAGAGATGCACCCAGACCAGCAGCTGATGGAAGAATTCTTTAAAGTAAGAGCCAAAAGGTTTGGAAATGTAAGGATAACAAAGGGCCTGTGCAGGATGGGAGGATCACCTGCTCTGGGAAGATAGGAGCATGGAGCCCCCCCCCCCTTATTGGAGAATTAACAGAAGGGTTAGCTTGAATTAAGTGTCCACATTACTGAAACAGCGATGTCTGCGTTGGCTCGGGCATGTTGTGAGAATGGCTGATGGTCAGATTCCAAAAGATCTCCTGTATGGAGAATTAGTGTAGGGAAAGTGCCCCAGAGGAAGACCACAGCTGTGATACAAGGAGATCTGAAGGCCTTAGGAATGGACCTCAACAGATGGGAAACCTTGACCTCTGAGTGTTCAGCCTGGAGGCAGGCGTTGCAGCATGGCCTCTCCCAATTTGAAGAGACACTTATACAGCAGGCCAAGGCAAAGAGGCAGTCCCGAAACCAGCAAAATCAGGGAGCTGGACAGAGGACAGGTTATATTTGTTTTCAGTGTGGAAGGGATGGTCACTCTCGAACTGGCCTTCTCAGCCGCACTAGATGCTGTTCCAAGTCCTCCGTACAGAGCACATTACCATAGTCTCTCAAGATTGAAGGATGTCTAAAGAAGAACCAAGAACCATTAGGAGAAAATCATCCAGACTCTTTGCTAGGACAGTATCGTCCTTAAGCCAACTGGTGTTGAGCTCGGAAGAACTTGGAAGAAAGTGATCACTCTCTTTTCTTTTCTTTTCCTTTTTCCTAGGTTGAAAGAGGGAGCCCCAAAAGCTGTTTCCTTTTCCTGGGCTCTGTCTTATGTGAAGTCAACTGGGTTAGTGTCCTCTCAAGCGCCTGGAGCCCCCACCCACCTCCAGAGACTCACGACATGATTGTGTGTCTGCTTTACATGGTGGTCTTGCTGGCCAAGGAGGAGCAGCTGCTAACCAAGGAGGTATGTCCGCAAGGGGGCAGGCGACCCACTTCTGAGGGTTAGCAGTGCTCGTGTGACCACAAAGGTGGAGTTTTTCAGGCTTCTTCCAGTGCTGAGAGATGCTGCTGCTGATGATCTGCTCTTGCAAACCTTTGTTCATCTACTCGCCATCCCCTCCTGCCAAGAAATAAGTATGTGTTTTTCCCAGGGCTCGTTGCAAATGACGACATTGCTGTGACACATTAGTCTTTGAGATAGTGAATGCACACCGGTGTCATTTTTGGGGAATGGCATGCCTTTTTTTGAAAAGAACGATTGCATTTCCTTTTAAAATGCGGTGAATGTGACGCCTGCACTTTTAAAAGGTGGCCAGCCAAGTAGAACAAGATCAGAGGAAGGCAACAAGGTTGATTGGGGGAACTGGAAGCCAAGCCCTTGGAGGAGAGACTGAAATAACTCAGCATTCTTTAATCTTGGGAAAAGAGGGGAGATAGCATAGCACTTCTCAAAGACTCGAAAGGTAGTCGTACAGAGGAGGGGCAGGATCTGTCCTCAAACGCCCCAGAGTGCAGGACATGTAATAATGGGCTCAAGGTACAGGAAACCAGATTTAGGCTGAATATCAGGAAACACTTCTTAACTGTTAGAGTAGTACAACAATGGAACCAGTTACCTTAGAGGCAGGGAGCGCTCCAATGCGGGAGGCATTCAAGAGAATATTGAACAACCTTCTGCTATTTGATTTGGATTCCTGCCTTGAGCCGTGGATTGGACTCGATGGCCTTTTATAAGCCTCTCCCAACTCCACGATTCTATGATTCTATGAATAACATTTATTCCACTCATCTTATATATTTGAGTGGTCACTTGTGAATAAGAGTCCCTTCTCTTGTCCTGAAGTGTATTTTTTTCGGCTTATCTAACCGAATAGACTTGTATGAGTTTATTTTATATTGTTTGTTTGTTTGTTTAGAATATTTACATGCCACTTTTTCCCTGAGGGATCCAAGGCAGCTTAAAGCATTTAGAAGAAACAAAGTTAAAGGCCAAATAATAAGTTATCGCAGTATTAAAAAAAAAGCATTAAACAACCATCATAGTAAAACTCATAATGAGAACAATATTAAAAACACAAGTCAGCGAGTTACCTGGCTTGGGTTTGTAGTCCCAAAGTTACTTGCTTAGTTACTTGGTCTGCTTCTTTTCATTTTTATGCTGCCATTCTCCCGGAAAAGGAATTCGAGGCAGCAGGTTTTCCAAGCTCTGGACCTGCTGGCAAGCACGCGTCTTCTTCTTCTTGCTTACGTGATTCTTCCAAAATGTCTGTTTCTGAAAACCTTTCCAGGAGTCGCCTCTGCTCAATCTGCTTGGCCAGACCAGCTCCCTCCCCTGGCAGCTGGTGAGCATTTTGTCCTACGAGAGCGTCCTCAGCTACTTCAACAGCCACTATCCTCCCTCCATCATCCTGGCCAAGGAGCCAACCTCTGAACTGATTGTGAAGCTCCTGAAGGTGTCTGCGGGCTTCGGCGCCTCTTCGGACAGCCACGCGCACCTTGTAAGTGCACCATTGGTTAGCGGTTTCCTTGGGGGACGCTTGGTCTGTGGCCCCCTTCCCGCTACCCGTGTTTAACTTTCTCAGGAGTGGTGGGGGACGAGTGACTGTTCTCTGCTCGGCTTCCCCTAGGATGGCACCCTCAAGTGCCGAGCGTACATCCGCCAGATGGTCCATTTTCTAAGCATCCTGGAACAAAACGAGAAGATCGCCCTGTCGGCTCTGGAACAGGAGATGTCAAGGCTGCTAGATGACATTGTCCTATTTAACCCTCCAGGTTGGCGATGCAGGGGATTCCCTGGGGCTGATGGGGAGCGGGGATGGGCTTGGTGGAAGCCAGAATCTGCTGGCAGAAATACTTTTTGTACAGAAGGTCCCAAGAGCAACTCCAGGTTATGAGCAGGCCTGAAAAAGATAAGGAGTCGAGAAGGGGGTATCCGTATATGAATACCCCTGCACAGGTGGCATTCATGAGGGCTCAGCCCCATGGGGCCAGATGGTCCACTCACCGATCCGCCGCGGACACGGACGGCGCGATTCTACTAAGGGCTCCGCAGCGCGTGATTCGCTCACCACTCCTGACTGGAGGCGGGAGGATAAGACACACTGCAAGCTCAGAGTGGTGAGTGGATTGCGGGCTGCGGAGCCGTAGGTAGAATCACGCCATCTGCGTCGGATCGGTGAGTGGACCGTCCGGCCCCGTGGGGCTGAACCCTCATGAACGCCACCTGTGCAGGGATATTCGTATACAGATACCCCTGTCTCTAATCAGGAGCTGCTGCCAGTCAGAACGGATGATTCTAGAGCTTAGGAAAGTTCTAATTTTTTTTTGGATCACAGATACCGGACGTGTCCGTGGTGGCTGGCAGCAGCTGTAAATCCAGAAAAAAATGTAACTTTTCCAAGCACTGCTCTCTCTAGTGGCCACCTGACATCCACTCAGATAGTCAGGTCACTTGAAGAAGAACTTCTGAAATTGATCTTGATTTCCGAAAAGGCTCACGAGAAGAGAGACGCGTTTTAAGTGGCAACGACAGCAGTGTAATCAAGCCAAGCAGCCATGATGTTCAGTTGTGTAGGAGGCAGCTCCACACAAACCCATTGGTTGGGGGATTCTGGAGGCTGTTGTCCAAAAAAATGGGTCTTCCACCAAGCTTTGGGCAATACAAGGCCAGTTTATTTCCAAATGTTTTAAATGAGCTAGACTGGAAGCTGAGTCATGGCAACTGGACTTCTTTCTTGTTAGGCTGAAACGTTTCGCTACTCACCCAAGTAGCTTCTTCGGACTGAAGAAGCTTCTTGGATGAGTAGTGAAATGTTTCAACCAAATAAGAAAGAAGTCCAGTTGCCATGAGTCAACTTCCAGATAGCCACACCTGGATGACTGAGAATCCTCACTGATAAGTGAGCTAGACATTCAGATAAATGTGTACTGCTCACTCGGCATTTAAAAGAAGATCTGTTGGCCTCTGGCTCTTCCCAAGTGGGCTTCATGTAAGGAGGGAAGTTTTCCTCTCTGCTTCCTGTCATCTCGAAGTTCTCCTGATCAACGTTTTGCTTTGTTTCCTGCCTTCTCAGACCCGGAAATGCAAGCTCGCCACCTGGCCCTGAGTAGCCTCTTTGCTGAAGCCCTGATGATGCTGAATCACGCGAGCGTGTCAACAGCAGAGTCCCTCCGGGTCACTTTACGAGGCTGGGTTGATGCCACGGTGCATGGCTTAGGAGCGATGCCACTCTTAACGGCTGCATGCCAGAGTCTAGCGTCAGTCCGGCATATGGCAGAGGCAACAGAGGCCTGTGTCATGGCCTACTTCAATGAAGGTGAGGGAGAATCATTGTTTTTATGTGTAGCTTCTTATGGGCCACAGGGAGGGAGCCGTGTATACTGCAAAAGACTCTGTGCTGCAAGGTCAGAAGACCAGCCGTTGTAAGATCGAATCCACGCGACGGAGGGAGCTCCCGTCGCTCGTCCCAGCTCCTGCCAACCTAGTCGTTCGAAAGCATGTAAAAATGTGAGTAGATAAATAGGTACCACCTCAGCGGGAAGGTCACAGCATTCCATGTCTAGTCACGCTGGCCACGTGACCACGGAAACTGTCTTCAGACAAATGCTAGCTCTATGGCCTGGAAACGGGGATGAGCACCGCGCCCTAGAGTCGGACACAACTGGACTAAATGTCCAGGGGAACGTTTTGCCTTTACCTTATGGGCCATGGGGGACGTGGTGGTGTTCAATCAAGTTGTGAATATCACCATCCTGCAAATTCTATTGCCTTTAGAGAGTAAGAGAGAGAGAGAGAGAGAGAGAAAATTCTGTTGCCTTTAGAGAGAGAGAGAGAGAGAGAGAGAGACCTCCATGGCTTGAGTCCTATTCATAGCTTTTGCTGGCATAAGAGAAACCATGTATGTCATTGTGGCCATCTGCTACTCATTAACAAGGTTAATTAAGACTCATTAACCCAGGAATGCAAGCAGTACCTCATTAATGAGTAGCAATTTGCCACTAAGACTCAAACAGTTGCCCCTACGCAAGTCTAAATTTCCAATAGGTTTCCAACTTCGGGTTGCCGAGCACAGTTTTTCCTGGCCATGATGGGAGGCAGCAGGGCTTTATACCGTTCCTTGTTCTCTTTTGGTAGAAAATTGATTTAGACAAAAAATTTTCAAAACCACACACAATTAAACATATTTTGGTGCACACAAAAGTTGGGCATTTTAAAGACAGATCCTTTATTCAGGATACAGATTTTGAGCCATTTTGATGCCCTGTGTAGCCTTAGCACTTTGTAATTTTTCCTCCTTTTTTTTACACTTCTGGAACTGGTTGATTTTGACAGATTCAGAGGAACTGTTTTAGATTTATAGAATCTTAGGATCATAGAATGGGGAGGGGTCTGTAAGGCCATCGAGTCCAACCCCCTGCTCAAGGCAGGAATCCAAGTCCAAGCAGATCGAACAGAGGGTGGTCCTCATTTCTCTTGAATGCCTCCAAGCGTTGGAGCGCTCACCACCTCCTGTGGTCACTGCTTCCGTTGTCGTACTGCTCTAACAATTGCGACATTTTCCTGATATTCAGCCTAACATCCTGTAGTTATTACGTATCTCCCCTCTGAGATGATCAAGAACAGATCCTGCCCCTCTAGGAATCCGGCAAAGAGGCTCAGAGCTTGATTTATCTTAACAGGACTTCTCCTTCTCTCTCCCTCTCTCCCTCCCTCTAACCCCATTTTGCCCATAGACTCTCCAGTCAGCCAGGATTTGGGCTGGGGACCGATCCTGGCCTCCTTGCAAATCCCCGAACTCACCGCTGAAGACTTTCTGCAGGAGTGCCTATCCTTGGGCAGTTACCTCACACTCTACGTCTACACACTACAGCAGCTGAACACAGAGCAAACCCTGAACAATGAAATGAAAGTGCTGCTGACGTTGAGCAAATGGCTGGAGCAGGTGTACCCCAGGTAACAGTCATCTTTTCCTTTAGGAGGGCAGCCAGTGTCAACACAACGTGAGGGGACCCCCAAGAGGTCTGACCTCAACTTGAGGGATGGCTGGACACCACCTTGGGTTCTGCCGTCCTAAAAAAGTGCTCCTGACTGGTCACTTTTTCTCTGAGAGCTTAGATGACTTAACCGTGACGATGCTGTCTGGAGAATTTGGGGTGTAAAAAGTTACCCCAAATTCTGTTTCCTTCCCCTCACATTTCTGGGTATACCATGCACTCCGCCAGTGCTCAGAAACAGGACTGGATGAGGGTTGTGGTTCCAGAAACACCAGAAGGGCCACACATGGCCTACCATGGACAGGTAGCCTGAGGGGGTGAGAGCATTGATTAAAAAATGCAGGAATTACTACAAGTTTGG